CGCCCCCCCGCGGCAGGACAGCGGCAGCGCGCGCACGGGGAGGGTCACGGCGGCGCTGCTGCCGCCGCGGGCCCCGGAGCGGGCAGCGGGGCAGGGCGGTTGGGGCCCGGGGGAAGCGGGCCGGGCGGGGCGGCTCCCTGCGGGCGGCAGGGGCTCCGCAGGGCCCTTTCGCCTGCTGCCGCCCGCAGGCACAGCGGGACCGGCCGGCTCAGCCCCGCACTCGCCGCCCCCGGCCTCGCTTTCCCCAGGACCGGCCCCGCGCTCCTGCGGCCGCTCTTGCCCCTTTGTCCCTGGCCGCTGGAGCGTGGCGGCGGGCGGGAGGGAGCGGCCGAGCGGGGCGGCCTCGCCCCAGCGCGGCTCCCGGGCGAGGGAAGCGCCTCGCGGCCCCCCCCGGCGGCCCCAGACTTTGGACTGCGGGTAGGGAGTGTCCCTGCGGCATCCAGCGGCTCCTCCGCTGCTTCCCGCCCCGACCGCTCCCGGAGAGCTGCCCCAGGAATGCAGGGGGACAACGGGTTCCCATCCCGAGCCCGGCGCCCGGCGCGCTGCGGCTGAGCCCTCTGTCCCCAGCCCGGTGCCACACGGGTGTCGGCGTAGCAGGGTGTGTAGGGTGCCTTGGGGGGCTGGACTGCCGTGTTCTCCCTCCCTGTGCCCACCTCGATCGTGCCGCACATCTCAGGGACACTCGGGTACCAAAACAGGACACGTTTATTGACAAATGTAACCGGTACAGACCACGCGTAACAGGGACAGACGGTGCCGGGCCAGCAGCGATGTGGCACACAGCAGGGGGGCCCTCCCCATCCCGTCCTCATCCTGCCCCATGGGCATGGCAGGACGTCGCCGGGTGCCGCTTCTCCCGCCGACCCGAAACTGCCTCGTGTTTAACCGAAACTGTCTCTATTTACACAGCCTGGCCCTGACCCTGCGGCCGTCCCCGTCCCCTCCTTCGCGCCCCCCCGCCCCGCCCCGGCGCTGCCGCCCCCGGGCCCCACGGAGGGCAATGAGGGTCCCAGGGTGGGGGGGTGGGGTGGGGGATATCGAGGGGTGCCGGGGGACCCTGGGGGGGGCTCAGACATAGTTCCTCTTGTCGTAGCTGGTGACGGCGGAGCGTGGGGCAGAGTAGGCCACCTTGCCCGTGGGGTACCTGTCGTCTTTGGGGGGGCAGGAGCAGCAGAGCAGGCCCCCCCCCAGCAGCAGGAGTGCGGAGGCTGCCCAGCCCACGTAGAGCGAGGTGCCCAGCTCTCGCTTCTGCGCTTCGATCACCAGCGGGTTGTAGAAATCCCGGATGATGGTGTTGGCCGACCAGCAGACAGGGATGAGGGTCATGACACCAGAGAGGAGGAAGATGACGCCGGAGACGATGGTGATCTTGGCTTTGGTGCTCTCATCCTCCACGCAGCGGGTGCACTGGGCGCCCACGATGGCCACCATTAAGCCCAGGACGGCCAAGATGATGGCCACCACCAGCAGGGCACGGGCGGCTTGCAGGTCCTGAGGGAGCGCCAGCATGGAGTCATAGACCTTGCACTGCATCTGCCCCGTGCTCTGCACCACGCAGTTCATCCACAGCCCTTCCCAGAGGATCTGGGCCGTCACGATGTTGTTACCGATGAAGGCCGACACCTTCCACATGGGCAACGCGCAGCAGATGATGCTGCACAGCCAACCCAGCACGGACAAGGCCACGCCGCCGATCTCCAGCCCCATCGACATGGTGGACGGTTCAGTGACGTGCTCCAGGCGATGGCGGAGAAGAACCCACGGACCGAGACCGTCGCTGCCACCCGCCGCCGCTCGCAGCCGGGGGATCGGCTTACACCTGTGCGCAGTGCTATTTATATGGGCTGGCCCCGGGGTGGGGTTTCAGTGCTGGCTGCTGGACGCTCCTCTCTGCTCCTCCGTCACCGTCACCTGTGTCCCACACCCTCCCCTTTGTTTGCAGAGATGGCGCCGAGTAACCAGAGAAGGGCGGGAGGAGGAGAAACGCCACCTGCCACAGCCATCCCCTGGTTTCGGCCGATGAGTATCGGGAAGCACTACTACCATGCTCATTCCCATCAAACCCCTTCTGTGAACCTGGAAATCCCAAGTGTTCACCTTTCCCACATGGAGAAAATCATGTGGCAACACCTGTGCGCAGTGCTATTTATATGGGCTGGCCCCGGGGTGGGGTTTCAGTGCTGGCTGCTGGACGCTCCTCTCTGCTCCTCCGTCACCGTCACCTGTGTCCCACACCCTCCCCTTTGTTTGCAGAGATGGCGCCGAGTAACCAGAGAAGGGCGGGAGGAGGAGAAACGCCACCTGCCACAGCCATCCCCTGGTTTCGGCCGATGAGTATCGGGAAGCACTACTACCATGCTCATTCCCATCAAACCCCTTCTGTGAACCTGGAAATCCCAAGTGTTCACCTTTCCCACATGGAGAAAATGTGGCAGATCAGAGTTTGTTGATTTCTGTAGTGTTGTCAGTGCTCACGTTTAACTGGGGTTCCGTGAGCGTTGGGCACCTTTGCATCACCGTGCAAAGTGCAATCCCTCCGCCATCCCATGAGGTTTGTGTCACCATTCCAGGGGACCTGCAGGTGCTCCTGGCCCAGCAGGAACCCCTCCAGCCTGGCCCCTCCTGTTCCCACCCTGGTGGGCTGGGAGCATAGTCAGAGATCCTCTGACTGACTGATAAATATCTTTACTCATCCTGCACAAGTCTTGTGACCTTGAAGGAAGCAGATAATGCACGTAACCACCCCGGCAGCATCACCCTGACAACCTGAGCTGGCACCTGGCAAAGGGAAAAATATCCCAAGGCATGAGCAATCTCTTCAGACCTGGCAGCAACAGCCCCATGGCTGGGGGGTGCATGTTTCCTCCCCCAGCCTTGCATGCTGGGGGTAGTGCCAGTGCTTCCAGTCCCCCTCCCCCAGGAATGTGGTTGCTGGACACAGGCTTGCTCCTACCTGTTCCCTGGCTGCTCCAAAAATCTCCTCTACAACTTATTAACTACTCAAGAGCGCGGTGGGATGCTGGCAGCTGGTGCAGTGCAGCTGGGATGGGGGGAGCCCTGCAACTGCCTGGCTGTACTCCACAGTACCCTGACATCGCACAGCCAGAGAGGTTGGAGTTGGGTGCCCCCAGAATATCCCAACACTCCATAGCCAGAGGGGTTGGATTTGGGTGCCACACAGTGCTCTGATACCCAGTAGCTGGTGGGTCACCTTCTATTACCCTGCAGCACTCTGAACCCCCATAGCCAGCGGGGTCACCCCACAGCACCCTGATACCCAATATATATCTGGGTCAGCTGTTGTCACCCCATGTCACCCCAGCACCCCATATCCACCCAGCTTGACCTCCAGCCCCCTGCAGCACCCCTTGTCTGACCTCCACCACGCTGTGACACCCCAGTACTCCCATGTCCAGCCTCTGCCAACCCATGGCATCCCCAAAATACCCTGTCCTTGGCTGGGTGAGCTTCTGCCACCCCACTGCCCCACTGTACTGTGATCACCCCCCCGCGCCCCCCACCCCCCGAGGGCACCAAAAATCCCCACAGCCAGCTGGAGGTACCCAGGGCTGACCCAGCCTATGCAAGCAGCCCCCAGGGTTCTGTGCCCTTGCTGCTAGGGGCGCTGGGGGTCCCGGCCCTCGGGGGCACCTCGGGGTGAGTTTCCACGGTCCAGTGCTGTCACAGGGCCAGGCCCACCGGGCTGCCAGCGGCGAGCAGAGGGCGGGGACCGGGCTGCCGAGGGCCCCACGTGTGCAGGCAGGGGAGTGCCCGCGGCCCCGGGGTGCGGGAGTGACGGGTGCGCAGGTGAACACACAGACACACACAGACACACACAGACACACAGACAAACAGGTACAGTCACATACACACACAGAGGTACAGGCACACACACACGCCCACACACAGGTACAGGCACGCACACACACACATACACACACACACACACACACACACAGGTACAGTCAGACGCACACACACACACCCTCTGCTGGCCGCAGCGCCCCAGGATGTAGCTGCGCACAGAAACGCATGGACACATAGACACACGGACACACAGCAACAGACTCAGACTCACGGACTCATGGAGACAGACAGACATATTAACTGACTGATACACACACTCACCAACAGATTCACAGACACACACAGACTCACGGACACATAGATTCAGACAGACACACACACACAGACCCAGACTCACACAGAGACTAACGCAGAGGCAGAGGTGAGCAGGTGGTGGTACAGGTGCACACATACACACCCTCCCCCTGTGCACATGAGGCTGCGGGGCTCTGGGCAGCGGCTCCCCTGGCAGGGCTCTGGGCCAGGAGGGGACCCCAGGCAGGGCTGTAGGGTGTGGGGATGCCCCAAGCAGGACTTTAAGCCAGGGTTATACCCCAGACGGCTCTGGGGAGGAGGGCTGGCACCCCAGACAGGGCTGTGGGGCACAGGAATAGGGGAAAGGCTATACCCCCAGTTCTGTGGAACAATGGGAATACTCAACAGCAGGGCATGGGGCAGGGGAGATAACCCATGTAGGAATGGGAGGTAGCAGAGAGGGATACCTTTGGATAGGGATATGGGACAGGGAGGATATTCTAGGTAGGGCTGTGGGACAGGGGAAGAGCAGCATACTTGAGGCTGGTATATGGGATAGGAGCTACTGGGGCAGAGCTGGGCTGGGACAGGGCAGTGAAACACCGCAGCCCCCGACCCTGCAATCAGAGCCCCACACGCGGCGTCCCCACTTTGTCATCCCAAATTGCCCAAAGTACAGGCTGTGTCCAGTGTCATGCCGGCCTGGGGCAGCTGCTGCCGCCTGACTCACGACAGAGGAAGGGGCAAATCACCGGGGTTTCGGGGTGCTGGTCACCCCCGGCAGGACACATTCTTGTGGTGAGCAAACCAGCTCACTGGTGTTTACTGAGGAGCTGAGCAGGACCAGCATCCCTGGGGGATTCCTGAGAGCACCCCCATCCCAGCTGCTGCATCTCCCTCCCCAGTGCAGTCCCTCTGCACTTCCGCACAGCTGGGGAGGGATGAGGAGTATCCAAGTCCCTCGAGATGGGGACAAAGTGTGATGGCTGCAAGAACTCTGTGGTGACATGGGGGCAGGTTTGCTCCACTGTGATGCAGAGAACCCAAACAAATGTCAGACCCAAAGGTTACGGGAGTATCCCTGGTTTGGTGGCTCCAAAGGAAGGACACCTGCGCTGACAGGGGAGACACCTACTGCAGCATCCCCCATCCATGCAACCGGCACCCGGCAGCACCCCGGGGGTGCGCAGGAGGTGACGGCAGAAACCGCCCCGGGCACGGCTGGGCCGCGTCCCACTCACGTGTGCGGCGGGGCTGGGGTGTTCCCCGCCGCTGCGGTCGGGAGTGCCGGCGCTTTTTCCCCCGGGGGAGCGGGGCCGGGGCGGTAAATGCCGCCTCGGCTGCTTATATTTCAGGCGCGGGGCTGCTGGCTCTGCCCCGGCCAGGGCACACAGGCAGCCCATTGTTGGAGCCCCTTCGGCGCGGCGGGAGCAGGTGAGGCGGCTCCGAGCATCAATGGCAGCTCTGTCTGCCGGCGGGACGGGGAGGTGGCTGCGGCACACGGGGGCTGGGGGCGGCGGGGGACATGGACCAGCGGGATGTGTCAGGGGGCTGGTGTTTCGCTGCGGAGTGCTGGACCATGCCTGGGGCATCCCCACCCCGACAGATCCGATCGTCTTCCCTAGGGCTTTGCCGTGGCATCCCGCTTCCTCCGAGCATCGCCAGTGGGGACACCCCCATTGACCCCCTTCCTGATCCATCATCTCCCCCATCCCTTCGCCAACCACCTTGGCAAAGCTTAGGGGTGTTTTCCCTGTTGGGAGCCGCTTGTTGCATAGAAACTGGACGGAGTTTTGACTTTCAGAGCGACTTCAGGCCGAAGGTCCCTTCTTTCCCTGCAGGGACCCCGCAGGTCCCGGCGCGCGGCTCCCCTCCCGATAAGAATTTGCTTTACCCTAGCGATAAACAACCTGACTGTGCATTTTTGAGTCCGTCAGAGGGATTTATGTTGGGCAAGGATGTTTTTTGGGAACATTCAGTCTCTGGGCTATTGGTAACTAATCCTCAGCCTCCGGAGAGGAGAAGCTGCCCCACTCCTCACAGGCTGTGTGGGAGGGCTGTTGGACGTGCCTTGCTTGGCAGATGTGAAGCCAGAGATCGCGGTGGGTCATCGTTTGCTGGCGAGTCTCACCTGCCCCTTTGGGACCTTGAGGTAGGCAGGTTGGTGGGTCCATGTGTGGGTCCTGGGGGATGAGGGGCTCTCGCCTCAGTGGTGTGCGATATGTGAGGTGGAACTGACACTCATGTCCTGGGTGGGAATGTCCCCAAGCCTGGACATTTGGCTTTTTGGCAGGAGATTCATGCCCCAAACCTTCTCCCTGTGGGGTGTCCTCCACCCTGAGCAAGGCCAGGGTGACACAGCCTCTGCTGTGCACCCAGCAGTGCCTGGCGTTGTGGTGACACTGCATTTAATGTCACCTTCCTGCCTGGGAATGTCCTCACTACCCCACCAAGGGGCTGCACTGTGTCCCCATGCTGGTGAACCCAGGAAAAGTGTCAGAAGGTGTTTCCTGATGGATGTACCAGAACGGGAGCTCTGCCCTCACAAACCCTCTTAGTGCAGTGTAACAGGGATGGGAACCCAGGCTCCTACATGTCCTTCAAATCCCACTGCATTTGGGGCAGGGCATCCACACCTGTCTGGGTGCTGGGGCAAGCGCTGGGTGGTGAAAGCTCAGGATGGGTTGCATGTATTGAGCAGCCTGTTTTGGGGTGGAGAAGCTTCCTGCTGAGCAAGTGGGCTGTGTCCCACCAGGACACGTGCCTGTGCCATGGCTCCTTGCAGGTGACACTGGAGAAAATCTGGGACCGGGTGCAGGATGCACTGGGAATGAGCATTGGGACAGGGCTGTGGGGCTGGTGTCTGTGGAATGGTTGTCCTGAATGGCATGTCCTGAGGTGCTTGGTGGTCCCACCTGTGCTGCACCACCATCCTCAGGCTCCAAGAGCTCTGGGATCAGCTGCTGCTCCTCCACGCCAAGCCGGTGTCTGTTGGTCCTGCTGTCTGGCAGTGCTGGGGACACGGGGCCGGCAGTGCTGGCCGGGTGGGTGTGTTGCTTGGGAATGTGGGGAAGGGCACAGGGGCTGCCCCTGCGTGGCAGCTGCCAGGTGGAATATATGTCACGTTCCAGCATTAATTACAGTAATTGGCTGTGAGAGGCTGTGCTGGCGCCTGCTCTGCCTCTGAGGGAGAGTATGAGCAGCTCAAGCTTTGATGCTGTGCGCACGGGGGAGTCCCTGTCCCCACCTTGCCATTTGTCCCCAGCCCAGAGACAAGTCCCCACGTGCCTGCGGGGACACGGCCGCTGTGAGCCACACACACACGTGGGCGTGTGGCTCTCTCCAACCCCAAATAATGCGGTGGTTACAGCAGGCGGCTGGGAGGTGAAAGCCTCAGGCAGAGTCTGGCCCCGGCGGGGATGCTCCGGAGCCTTGTAGATTAAAGGGAGCCCTTGACCACAAGGTTCTGGCCGCAGGGTAGACACACTGGTATGTGAGCAATGCGGGTGTTCCAGCAGGACAGAGGGACAGAGCCTGGGCTGCTCCTCTGGCATAAGTGAGGCAGGCAGGACTGTGACCATCTCCTAAGGGTGGGGTCTGCTCTGAGACATGGGTGTCCCCAAGCATCCTCCTGGCACCACAGTGCATGGGCCACCAGGCTTGTCCCACCGCAATGGGACCTGATGCCCAGGGACATCCTGGTACAAGCAGTAGAAGCTCCAGTCTGTCACACCAAACAATAAGCACAAATGGTTGGATTGTGATGGTAACCCCAATGCTCAGGAAAACTAAGATTATCTTGGTGCCTCTTATCTTTTCCAAGGGCCTGGGATTAAGCTAGGGTGATGAAACAGTGCAATGTCCATCTGTCTGTCTGTGCCATCTGTCTGGTGTCATGCTGTGCCTGTGCAGGAGCTTGGAGGGAGCAGCTGGAGAGCCTGTGTGGGAGTAATGGATTAAAAGAGGACAGGTCAGCATCAGCATGGCATCAGTGTTGGCATTGGTATTGGCATCAGCACTGGGATCAGTAGGTGTGGCTCTGGGTATGATCAGTGGGATCAGTGGGTATGGCTCTGGGACCGCTTGAGGACACATCTGCCCCTCACAGCCCCAGCCCACCCAACCCCACCACACAGGCAGTGGGACATGGGCAGAGCTGGGACAGAGCATGGCTTTGTGAACCCTGGCTTGCCACTGGAGCACAGATGAGCTGGGTTTGGGGTCTGCCCCCCTGATGCCCCAGGCAGTGCCATCTCTCCTTTGTGGGGAAATGGCAGCTGCTCCAACCGGTTTGTGGGTCTGGGCGGTGGCACCTCCTGCCCGAGGCCTAATGGAGGGCTGAAAGTTGCTGGTACGGACGCCAAAGGAGCAAACAAGAGCCTCTTGTGTCCTGCCGGGCACGGAGCCCAGCAGCCAGAGGGAACAATGTGCTCCTCCCCTGGCATGGGGCCATGGGGGGCCAGAGGCTGGGCTGATGCTGGAGCAGTGACTATGAGCTGGAGGGAAATTGAGGCATGAAGGTGTGAAGGGACCCCATCCAAGTGATGGAGCAGAAGGTTCAGGCAGGGATGGCAGAGATATCCTGGTGTCTGGGCACCAGCTCTTCCCCTTTATCATCCCGGGCTGAGTCCCAGCGCTGCCCTGGGCATGTCCTGCCTGCCCACAGCAATGAGATGCACTGCTGCACCTGGGTGGCCTGATCCCAGTCCCCTGTGTCCTCCTCCATGGGAGCAACCGGGATATTAAGTGTCATTGCTGCAGGGAGAAATACAAGTGGAAGAATCCCGGGAAACTGGTTCTACCCCTCCGTCCGGTGCCGGCGGCAGGCCGGCGGCTGCGGCGGCGCTCCTCCCTCGGCAAAGGCATATAATGCCTGCCATGGTCCCAGCAGCCGGCACTGCGCAGCGGGAGGCGGGCAGGGAAGCAGGCAGCGAGCGATGGCCTCCATGGGGATGCAGGTGCTGGGCATCGCCCTCTCCGTCATCGGCTGGTTGGCCTCCATCCTCTGCTGCGCGCTGCCCATGTGGCGGGAGACAGCCTTCGTCGGGAACAACATCGTGGTGGCGCAGATCGTCTGGGAAGGGCTGTGGATGAGCTGCGTGGTGCAGAGCACGGGGCAGATGCAGTGCAAGGTCTATGACTCGCTGCTGGCCCTGCCACAGGACCTGCAAGCCGCCCGTGCCATGGTGGTGGTGGCCATCGTCCTGGCCATCCTGGGCACCCTGCTGGCAGTCACCGGCGGCAAATGCACCAATTGTGTGGAGGATGACACCGCCAAAGCCAAGGTCATGATCCTCTCCGGCATCATCTTCATCGTCGCCGGTATCCTCATCCTCATCCCCATCTCGTGGTCAGCCAACAGCATCATCCAGGACTTCTACAACCCGCTGGTCTCTGACTCGCAGAAGCGGGACCTGGGCTCATCCCTCTACGTGGGCTGGGCAGCCTCGGTGCTCCTGCTGCTTGGAGGGGGGATCCTGTGCTGCACCTGCCCCCCCCGTGGAGAGAAGCCCTACTCTGCCAAGTTCACGGCTGCTCGCTCGCTGCCAGCCAGCAACTACGTGTAGGAGCCGCCGCTCCTGCCTGGACCCCCCCCCGGCCGCTCCAGGGCGCGGGGACCTCCCGGGACACGCAACCTCCCCGGCTGGGCTGGGACTGGCCGGGCGCCGGGGCGGTGCGAGGGAAGGCAGACAGAGACGCCTTTGTTCCACCGGGGTTGAAGCCGGTTCTCTCTTCTCGGTTAAGACAGGGGACAAGGAGATCCTGTCCTGGCTGTCCGCGGTGGGTGTTCTGCTCCCCCCGGAGCATCCAGCTGAGGCATCTCCTCCTCGAGCATTTCCTGGCTCCCGGTATCGGGGTGTGCCATATGGTGACACAGCTCCCAAGACCCTGTCCCACGGGTGGCACAGGGCTCTCTTTTCCCGCGTGAAGCTCCCCGGGACGTGTCTGTCCCTCGCGGTGGGTGGCGGTGTCGGTGCTGATAGGGACAGCGAACCTGTTCCACGTGGTCACAGGGACGTAGTGGTTCTGCAAACCCCGGCAGGGTCTTGAGGGGTGACAGGAGCTGTCACCTGCCTGTTCTCTAACTTTTGGCTTTGACCTACTTTCGGGGCTCGGAGCGGCCGTACGGAGTGTGATTTCTCGCGGCAGCTCCCCAGGGCGGGGTATCATTATCCTGGGAGTGGGAAGGCAGCGGCCGGGCTGGGAAAACCGGTCGGAGAGGCGGGACCGGAGCGGGGCTGTGCCCCCGCATGGTGGGGGGCGACTCCCGGACCCGACCCCATCCATCGCCCTAGAGTGGGGTTCCCGAGGCCGGGAGTGCAGTCTCACGGTACCCCTGGCTGTGCTGCCGTCCCTCCCCGTGTTCAGCCTTCCCGCATTAAACGGCAGCTGCTCAGACCCCGCTGTGCCTCGTGTTCTTTACGCTCTCCAACACCCGCCTCGGTGGTGGGACAACCCGGTGCTCCTGTGCCCCGGGCTCCGTCCTCCTGAAAGATCACCCAAGTCTTCGGACTCTCTTGAGATCCCCGCCGCCTGTTCCAGCCCTGGCGTCCCTCGCCGTTCCCCTCCCTGGCCGCCCCGGGTGTGACAGCGGCTGCTGCCACGGCACAAAGCCTCGGCGGCGCCGGACGGGGTGTCAGGGCTGTCCCACGCCTGAACCCACCGAGCAGGAAGAAGGCGGCGGCGCCGGCCGGGGCGGGTCGGGGCGCGCTGCCCCGGTGCCCCCCCCCCCCCAGCCCCGGCTGGGAGCGCCCCGCGGGCGGCGGGGGCAGCGCCGGCTGTTTTGCCTATCTCGCTTCCGGCGCGGCAAGTGCTGCTCTGGCTGGGGAACATCCTTCCTTCCCACCTCGGGATTTGTGGGGACGGGGGTGACTCCGCCTAGCTCTGGGTGTCTCATCTGTATCTGAGGGCTGGAAGGCTCCCAGCTCCTCAGTCCCTTCTCTGGGCACAGGAATGGTGGAAAATATGCCTGTAACCCTGTGGTGCCGGTGGCCAGATGGGAATGTGAGCACAACGCTCTGTCGAGCATCCCTGGGGATCCATGGAGACACCACTTGTCCCCCTGCAGGCGGTCGTAGACCCTGTTTTGCGTGTCTTGTGTGGCCAGGTCCTGCTGGCTGGGGAAGGATGCCTGGGATGGCGCCCACCATCCCAGCCCCTGCCTGCCCGGAGCACAGGGGGAGGGGCTGTGATCTTGGCCCAAAGGGACTTTCATGGCCCGGGGAATGCAAAGTCCTGGTGCTGGGTGTCCATCAGGCTCCTGAGGGATAAAAGATGCTGGGTAAGGAGTGGGGATACAACGGCAGAGAGGCTGGAGAAACCAAAACTGAGACAGGGGAAATGATGGTGAAACCTCTGGCAAGAGCTGCAGGGTGTGCCAGGCACAACCGATACCTGCTGATCTCAGGGCCATAAAACCCTGGCTGGTCCCAGCTGCCAAGCACAGCACGGGCACCCATGGGTGAACTCTGCTCCGTGAGGGGCTGAGCTGGATGTGGGCTGAGCCAGGGCCACAGCAGTCACACGTGACCGTGGTGGAGCTGCCAGTGTGCCCAGCATGTGTCCCTGTGCTGACCACCCCTCTCCCAGGGATGCCACCTGTGGTGACCCCATAGCCCCTCAGCAGGGTTTGCCCTCTTGGGGCTGCTCCTGGCACTTCTCCGGGATGGTATCACAGAAGGTGCTGAGCCCCACGCCTGGGATCAGGGCAGAGCTGAGCTCTGACCCATTTCCCTTTTCTTCTGGAGAGGAGATCCTTGGTCCAAAGGGCACTGTAGGATGGCTGTGAAGGTGAAGCCAAACCAGGAGCAGGCAGTGCTGAGCGGTAGGGGGGGGCTGCCTTCCCTGCTGTGCCCTGTGCCCTCCCCTGTGCCCCTGGCACGAGGCTTGTGACCAGGGAGGCTGAGCACCCGTGGTGGAGTGGGACATGGGATGGGCACTGGGGGATGGCCACCAGGGCAGGACATGGGGTGAGTGTGGGGTGGGGGGTTTGCACTCTGGAGCACTGGGGGATGGGCACACCTAGCCATCCTGCTCCCCAAAAACCATGCCTTCCCTGACACTTGCCATGCCCTGGGAAGGGATGATGGCAGAGGCTGTTCTGTGCTGTGGGGACAGTGTAAGGGCGAGTGTGACACACAGGGGCTCCTGCACCTTGGCCTGCTTGGGGCCTGGGTCTTCAGTGCCACATGTGTCCCCATCCTGTCCTGCAGCACCACCTCACGCCACTCATGTCCCTGTGTCCTTCAAGTCCCCGCGTCACCCATGTCCCCATGCTGTCCTGCAGCCATTCCCATCCAGGTGGGGAGCAGGACACACCAGATGAAGCCCAGGCTGTCCCTGGCTGTGGGCTGTGCCTGTGACACTCATGTCTGTCCCCGCAGGAGCTGTCGATGGCGATGATGACAATGCAGATGGGAGGACTGATGATGGCCACGCTGGGCTGGCTGGGCTCCATCCTCACCTGTGCCCTGCCCATGTGGAAGGTGACAGCCTTCATCGGCTCAAACATCGTGGTAGCCCAGGTGTTCTGGGAAGGGCTGTGGATGAACTGTGTCTACGAGAGCACGGGGCAGATGCAGTGCAAGGCCTACGACTCCCTGCTGGAGCTCACCTCTGACCTGCAAGCTGCTCGTGCCCTGGTGGTCACCTCCATCTTCGTGGCCTTCCTTGCCTTCTTCATCGCCCTCTCGGGAGCTGACTGCACCCGCTGTGTGGATGACAATGGCACCAAGACCAGGATCTCTGCTGTGGCAGGTGTCATCTTCATCATGGCCAGCATCATGCTGCTCATCCCTGTCTCCTGGTCTGCCAACAGCATTGTCAGCAACTTCTACAACCCCATGGTGCCTGAGGCCCTCAAGAGAGAGCTGGGGGCTGCCCTCTACATTGGCTGGGCCTCCAGTGCCCTGCAGCTCTTTGGTGGGGGCGTCCTGTGCTGCTCAGGATCCCAGTCCCAGCAGGACCCCTACCCCAAGAAGTACAGGGCAGTGAAAACCTGTGGCCCAATGGGCTATCCCATGAAGGACTATGTGTGAGCCACTGTGCCCAGGTGCCAGCCCAAGGCAGAGCACCACTGTCCCTGTCCTGTATCCCCGTGCCACACCTGCCCCTGCACTGCCTCCTCCTGCCCATCCCCCTGCTGGCCAACCCCCAGCACAGTCCCCACATGTGCCCCTCCCCAGGGCAGGGACTATAAACATCCTGGTGCCACCAAGGCTGCCTGGGCTCATTTTGAACAGCGCGGTGTGGGGAGGATGGTGACGCGTCCTGGGGGTGCTGTGCCCTGCCAGCTGCTGTGTTCCAGCACCTACAACATCCCCAGCTTCCCATGGGGATCAGCAGTAGTCAGCCAGGGTGCTCCTGGCATTCCCTGCAGCCGGAAACTGAGTCAGGGAGAGGATGCTGAGAGCTAAGAGAGGCATGAGGGGACACCAGGTGCTCTGAGCCCCCATGGACTGGGACAGGACCCCAGAGAAAGGCTGAATCCCCCCTCCCAGGCTCCTGGCCACCCAACCCGGAGGGTGCACATTCCCATTGCTCTCGGAAGAACACGCAGCAGACAGACAGCAGGGACAGGAGTTTATTGAACAGGCAAGTGCAGGGCTGGGGACAGCCACAATCCCCAGCTGCCCAGGGGACAGTGTTGGAGACAAATGGGGAGGGAGCAGTAGGACAGCTACTGATGGGTACAGGGATCCCAAAACATGGGGGACAAAGCAGAAGGTTGACAAGAGCCATGGGGAGGGTGAGTGTGGAAGATGTGGGATGTCCTGGGTGAGGAACAGGGACAGACACAGCCACAGCCATTGCCTCATACTGAGGAAAAGCTCCTGAGGGGAAGGATGCAACTTTTTCTCCAGGCACATTGGAACAGGATGAGCAGGAACAGGTCTGAGGGAAGGGAAAAATGAAAAGAAACCAAATATTCCAGTAAGAGATTTGGGTAAAAAACTTCCCAAGGAAGCAGTGGAGGAGGAATTGTGAAGGCAGCCGAGCAAGGGGCTAGGGGAACAGGCTGGGCAGGCAGTGCTGGGTGGCTCCTGGGTGGGGAGCAGCTGCCAGTTCCCCAGATCCCTTCCAAACTCATTTCCCCTCCCAGACCATTAACTACAAAGGCGTGGGAAAATGAGATTCAAGCAGCTGTTGTGGGATGCAAGGCAGATGTGGCACTTGGAAAGCCTCTCCAGCTGGGAGTCACCTTGGCATAGCTGCTTTGACTCTGGATGTGGAGGCTCCTGCACCTCAGGGCTGGCTCAGTCGCTAGGGAGGATGAGAATGGGAGGCCACAGGACACAGCGGTGGGAACCCACCTCCAGCCATCCCCAGGTAAAGACTCTGGGGGTAGGAGATGAAGAAGGATCCAGATTTTGACCATGAGTGCTGAGATGGGTGAGGTGGGGAGAAGACATCCCAGACTGGAACATCCATGTTCCAAGACATCCCATGCCTTGGAACAGCCATGCAGGTCTGTGAGATGTCACAGTGAACGTTGAGGTGCTGGGGTCAATGCCTAAATGTCAGAGCTAAAGGCGGTGGCCAGGAGACCCTGGTGAATCCAGGAGACCCTTCCTGTGCTGAGGAGCAGACAAGGGCCCCAAGCCCAGACCTTGGTGAGAAGGAACCGAGGAAGGGAATGGGGAAATTCCTCACTGGGTTCAGTTTAATAAAGGGTCAAGTGCTCATCCCCCCTCCAGAGCCATGGTAGCTCTCAGCCTTCCTCGAGGTGGGGAACAGGGCACTTCTGGTAGATGTAGACCACCCCAGAGATGTAGCCAGTGCCCTGGGTGCTCTCTTCCTCTGTGGTGGCCCTCTCCCAGTACTCCACTTCCTGGGCCAGCAGCTTCTGCCAGGCTCCGCTCTGCTCCAGCTGCCCCAGCGCTGCCTCCAGCTCCGCCTTGTACCGCAGGTTCGAGGGGTTACTCCTCGTCGTCAGGCACAGGAAGCCGCCTGCGGGACAGGAGACAGGTAACACTGACACAGGGTGTCCCTCTCTGGGGACCGCATCCCCCGGAAAGGGTGGGGACACGGAGAGGCATGAGAGCCTGCCAGGAGTCAGTGGGCAGGGGACGGACAGGGCAGGGGACGGGCACAGACAGGGCATGGACAAGGCAGCGGGCAGAGGATGGGCCGGACAGCAGGCAGAGATGGGCGGCACAGGGGCCGGTGGGCAGGGGATGGGCGGGATGTCCCGCCTGAGCGCAGGCTGTCACACACCAGCACCGTTACTGCCACCTCCTACCTTGTCCCGCTGCCCAGACCTGGCAGTGGGCAGGGTCAGGGACCCCGTGCATCGCCCGTCCCTGGCAGCAGGGACAAGGCCGCGTCCCAGCTGTGCCACGAGTCCAGCGTTCAGCGGGTGACCCACATCCACCCGGGCTCGGGGTCCCATCCCAGCACCGCGGGGGTCCCGGCGAGAGGGGAAACGGCCCCCCCTTACCTGGCTTGGTGACCCGCAGCAGCTCCGGCAGCACCGTGCTCGGCACCTGCCCCTCGCCCAGGGCCCCCACCACCGTCACGGCGTCGTAGTGCTCTGCGAGGACACGGGGCGTCACCGGGGGGGACCCTCCGGGGCTCCCCCCGCCCGGTGCCGGCGCGTCACCCGTGGGACACGTGGGTGCCACCGAGGGCTCCCGGGGACCCGCCCCCTCCCATTACCTGCGGGCGCGGGCAGCGGCTCCCTGCCCAGGACGCAGAGCCGCAGCTCCTGGTAGAGCCCGGTGCTCCGTGCCCGCTCCAGCATCCCCGCGCTGCCGTCCACGCCGTGCAGGCAGCGGAACCCGCGCCGGTGGAGCTGCGGGGACAGAGGCACCGTCATCCCCGCCCCATCCCGATACTCCCGTCCCGTTACCCCGGCTCGTCCCGCCAGTACCTCCCGCGCTACGAGCCCGGTGCCACAGGCCACGTCGAGGAGCCGCGCCCCCGCACGCGGCGCGGGGAAGGCGAAGGCGAGCGAGGCGGCGGCGAGATGCGGTGCCCGGTACTCCAGAGCCGCCACATCCTGCGGGGACACGGCGGTCAGCGGGGACGCCCACGGCCCCCCGGCCCTCCCGTTCCCTCTCTGTACCCGGTACCTGCTCGTAGCGGGCGGCCCAGCCGTCGTAGAGCCGCAGCCGTTCGGGCAGCGTCGAGCTCCGGTGAGCCGCGGCCACGCGGTCCCGGACCGCCGCCGGCAGCCCCATCCCGGTACCGCTCGGTACCGCCCGGGCCAATTGACCCGCGCCGCGCCCCGCCCCCGCGCCCATTGATCCGGAGGCTCCGCTACGGCCACGCCCCCAAAGCCCATTGGCTCCGCCTCCCGCTCGCGACGCGCCCCCAGTGCCTCATTGGCTTCTCTGCTCGCCCAGGACACGCCCCCAACGCGCGTTTCCACAATGACCCCTCCCAGGACTGCCCCCTGAACACGCGACCCCGCCCGGGCCAATTGATTGGGGCCGCCCCGGCGCCCGCCCCGGCCACGCCCCCGCGCTCCATTGGCCGCCGGAGCTGCCCCTCGGGGCGTTGGGAGCGACCAAGTGCGCCGGGAAGCGGGGGGGGAAGGAGCTGCTGTCCTGGGATCTCACTGAGGGGTGACCAGTGGCCCAGGGAGGTGTCTGTCAGGTGCCCTGGGAGATGACCAAGTCCAGGGATGGTGACCTCAGATGCCCTAGGGGCGTGACACCGAATCCCCACGGGGAGTGGCACCAGGGGCCCCAGCGCCACCACTGTCTCCCAGCAGTGTCCACTGTTTCTGCTGCTCTGTCAGCTGTTGGGGTCAGTTCCCATCGCGTCCCTCATGTCCCAGGCGCGGGGACAGTGTCCTGGACAGGTCACCTCCTGGCCGGCCCCTGGCCCCAGCCCCACACGGCCCCAGGGCTGCGCTGTCATCTCCATCCTGCATGCGCATCTCCTTCTTCCGTTCCGACGTCACCCATTGCGGCCACCACGCGAGCCCGCCGTGTCGCACTGTGTGCGGCAGTGACAACGCGGGACTGCCCCCGGGGAGGAGGCCAGCCACCACCGGGCAGCTCCTGCTTGTCCTGACCTGCCCATGGCCCCCCTCGGGCGGGGGTCATTCCGTGCTGCCCCGTGGGGACAGAGGACAGGAGCGGGCCGTGGCTGGGACGGGCAGGCACAGCCTGGCTCCTGCGAGGAGCCAGGAGCTGGGCTTGATGATCGCTACCGGGTCCTTCCAGCTCGAGGTGTGCCATGAGTGTATAAGCTAGGTGAAGTTCGGGTTTGGCTCAGAGCAACAAACAGCCCTGAGAACCCGCGCGATGCACAGACAGGGGCAGGATGTCACCTCCAGGTGACAATTCTCTGGACTATTCACCTGATCCAGGTGCCCAGCGTTTGTGACGTTCCGTGTCCAGCTTCGCTGTCTCTCGAAGGGCTCTCCCTGCGAGGTCACTGCGGGAGTGCCCCGTTACCGACCTTTGCTGTGGCAGCGAGGGCGAGCGACGAGCTCTGGGACAAGCCACGGCTGTGCCCATCGCCTCCGGCTGTTCCCAGCAGCCAAACAGACGGATCCAGCCGCTAATTAGTGACGGATTCAGCTGCTAATTAATGACGGGAAGAAAATGCGGAGCCCTGACGGAGCCGGTGGCCGCTCCGAGCCGCCTTGGTGGCCTCGTCACCTCCTCTGTCCCTCCCCGGGGACCTGTCCGCGTCACACGCGGGGACAGCTCAACCCGCGGCCGGTCAGTGCGGGCCGGGACCCTCGAGAGGGAGCCCTCCGCCCGCGGACGGACCCCGCAGGCACGCCCGGGAACGCGCTCGGGGAATTTCTGGCGGAGCGGCAGAGGAGAGCGCGGGGCTGGGGGCGGCGAGGGCTCGGCCAGAGACAGCAGGGACCGTCCCACCCACCCGAGGGCACAGGGATGTCTCCCGGGCGGCGTCCGCTGGGGCTGCAGCCCTGTGACAGCTCCTGCCACTGTCACGGGCATTTTGTCCCCCCTGCTGCCACCAGCGTGGGCCCGATCCTGTCCCTCGTGCTTGGGAGGGCCGTGGCCTCCAGCAAGGGCTCTCACAGCCTCGTCATGGTTCCCACCACTAACTGAACCTTCCTTTACGAACCTGTGCCAGGATGCGCTGCCAGCACCCCCTGTCCCTGCTCTGCGGCCCCAGGGGCCACTGGGCCTCGTCTTCTGCAGCCTTGACCCAAATTCAGGATCCAGCCCTGAATTTGCCGGTGCTTTTTCCATCCCCTTGCCGAGGCTGGCTGGCTCTGTCACAGCACAGCTGTGCAAACACCTGCACCCCGTGCCACCCCCACGGCTCTGGGCTGGCTGGGACCCAGCGTGGCCCAGCTGGAGTCTGCACAGGACCTGCTGCCAGCGTTGGATGGCCTGGGCTGTCCCCACTGAGGGCGGGGGACAGAGGTGGCAGCAGGTAGTGGCAGGTTGGAGTGTCCCATGGCTGGTGTTGGTGTGAGGCTGGACTTTGTCCTGACACGTGGCCCGGTGCTGGCGGGCTCCCACTGGGTCACAGGACGTTCCTCTCGGATGGTGCAGTTCCGTGGGACACTGTCCTTGTCCCCTGCCTGGGGACAGGGGTCTGTCTGTGCCCTGATGGGGTGCTGGGACCCTGGAGCTCAGCTGAGCTGCCCTGATGGAGTGTCCCCAGCACCCCTCAAAGGGACCTGGGGGGACATGTGCCCCCACGGCAGGGGCTGAGCCCCCAGAGCCCCCAGATCTCTGCTGTGACCTCGCCTGCCTCCCTCCCCAAGGAGCTGCTGCAGGGATGGAAGCGTAGCTTAGGTGTGTTCCTTGCCTTCAAACCTGCCACCGAGCTGGGACAGGAGTTGGGAAAGCCCAGGTCTGTGCTGGGTCTGGGCCAGACATTTCCAGGGTGGGCAATGTCACCTGGCACCAAAGCTGCCTGCAGGTCCCCCCTCTGAGCCTACCTGGATCCCCAGGCGAAGTGTGTAGTAGCATTGGTACCCTGGGCAGGTGGGCTTGCATGGCCCAGGGCCTGTGCAGGGCAGCCCTGGCACATCCTTGGCCCTTGGGGTGGGACTGATGCTGTCGCCCTGGACATCCCAATGATGTTGGAATGTCCCTAAGCTTCTTCATCAGTCTGGAGTGACAGAATGCTCAGTCCCACGGCCTTGTGTGCCTCAGAAACTTCCTGGGTGGCCCACACAGTCCCTGGGTCCTGTGGTGTGGATGTCCCTAGATGCTTGGAGGGACACAACACAGCTTCTGGCTCAAAGGAATTTGGGGACAGTCATGGTAACTGTCAGTGGAGGCTGTCAGGGTCATGAGCTGCATCTCTGTGAATCTGTCCATCTGCAGTTTCTTGATGGTGCAGGAGCTTACCACCACCAGGGAATATCTTCAGGGCATCCCAAGACATTTCCAGCTCTGGAAAAGGGCCCTTCATGGTCCCCTGAGCTCTCTGCTCTCTTCCTGAGCTGGGAAAGCATGGACAGCCATCCCATGGTGGAACTTGAGCCACACAAGGTGGAAGTGGAATGCTGTGCTGGGTGCAGAATTGGGCAGAGCAGGGAAGGAAAACCCTTTGGGGTGACAGCCAGGTGGGATCTGAAGAGCCTCCGTGGGAGACGGAGGGAGGAGGGAGGTTCAGGTTGGATATTAGGAAAGATTTCTTCACAGAAAGGGTGGTTAGGCCCTGGCACAGCTGCCCAGTGCAGTGGCGGAGTCCCCATCCCCAGAGGAGTTTAACAGCCCTGCAGACGTGGCACTTGGGGACATGGGGCAGTGGTGGCCTTGGCAGTGCTGGGGGAATGGTTGGACTCGATGATCCCAGAGGGCTTTTCCAGCCTTAACGATTCTGTAATCTTTCCATGGCCGGGGAGCTGACAGACAGCAGGACAAGGCCGGGCTGGCTGGTGGGGTTTCACACACCCTGGCTGGGATTGCTCTGCACGCACATCCTTAGAGGACAGAGCATTTGCCTTTCTCAGCATCCAAACGTGACTGGAGTCTGTCCACTTCTCCTCTAACCCCCATCCCTCTGGTGTTCAAAGACCATGGATTTTGCCCCCTGAGCCCCGCTCAGACGCATGAGCTCGCCTGGGTCGCTGAGTTCCTGCGCGACTTCTGAGTCTGCAATCTCGGCGTTGCTGGGACTGAAGGGGCCCGGGGCTGCTGTCACCAGCCCTGCTGCCCTGGTCCCGCCGCCCGCAGGGCTCCGGGCCAGGTGACGAGGAGGGGCTGAGCTGTGAATCCGCGGAGCTGGGCGGAGATCGGAGCGGGTGGCGCGGCGGGAGCGGCTCAGGAACCGATTCAGGGGGCTGGGAAGGGCTGCGCTGCCTCAGCGGGCCGCGCTGCCCACGAGCCCCAGGGACCTGGGCTGTGGCTGTCACTGCGGAGGGCGCTGGCCATAGCCGGGGCCTGGGGCCAGCAGCAGAGGGACGTCCCTGCCGTGCTGAGAACGTTCCCTGGCCGCTGTGCTCCTGCATCAGTCCCAGCCTCTGCACGTGTGTCGCCTGCATCCCATCCTCGCTGCAGCCCCAATGTGCCGTGCTCCCCTCCCTCCCGCACTCCAGTCCGTGGTGCTTCCATCCTTCTTGCATCCCAAATCCTTGATGCTGCTTTTCCCTGAACTCCCAGCGTGTGGATTTCACCCTCCCTTTGTCCTCCTGGTGCACAGAGCTCCACGCCCCCTCTGCCCCTCAGCTCCACACCGTCACAGGGGCATGGTGCTCCCACACTGGTGACATTCCCATTTGTCCTTATCCCCATCCCAAATGCCAGTGGCTCCATTCACAGTGTGTGCTCTGGCTGCAGTTCTCATCTGAGCTCAGCCTCCTCCTCACCTCTGAGCATCCCCACAAACCACATCTACATCCCCAGCTCATGGACCTCACTCCTTGTCCCCCTTCCGCCTTGTTCCCTCTTGTCTCCATTGTCACCTGCTCCTTTCCCCTGGCTAGGGATTTCCCACCCTGACCATATCCAACACACCCAGAGGCCTCAGGTCCCACCCACCACATGTCCTCTGTTTCTGAACCTTTTTCCTCTGTCACACCCCATCACCTCCTGGACTCATCTCCTGTCCCTCACAGCCCTTCCCGCAGCCAGGTGAGTTCCCCCGGTGCTGCCTCCCTGTTCCCATTCCCACAGGCAGTGTCATGACATCACTGACACCTTGGCACACCTCAGACTGGTGACTCAGCGTCCCTCCTGGGACAGCACCTCTGGAACTCATCATCTTCGTGGAACAGCACCCTCATGACTCAGAGTCCTTTGTGGAACAGCACCCTCGTGATTCAGTGTCCTCAGGTCCACCCCAGGAGCTCCCTGTTCCCATCCTGGGACACAATGTGACTCACTGGTCACATCTCTGCCACTCCTGGGATTCCAGGTGTGGCTGCCCCACAGTCCCGTCGCCCGGTGCAAGCCACCCAACCACGTCCCCAAATCCCCCCGACCACCTGCCCTGCCACCAGCCTGGCTATCCAGAGCACTCTTGTGCCCTGCTCCAGATCTCCTCCC